AAGTTAAGAGATTGAAGCTCGTAGTCGCGCTGAGCGGCTATGTGCAGCAGCACCCGAAGAGTGGTCATCTTCGGGGTGGGAGAGAAGGTCTGAAAGTAGTCAACTCCCTGCCGCTGACTGAAGCCTCGAGCCACGTAACGCGCCTTGAAGACAGGCGGAGAACCCGGCGGCCGCTTCACCCTGAAAATCCACATGCCACTAACGATGTTCGCCCCAGGTGGGGGAACCTCGTCAACGTAGGTGCCTGTGGAATTCCAGGAAGTCATCTTTGCGTCAATGGCTGACTGCCATTGTCAGGAATAGGGACTCTCGATCGCCTCAGCGTACGATCGAAGAGTCGGGATGTCTGGTGCATCCGGGTCTCCCTTAGGGGCAATCAGCTCGGACACGAGATGAGGCAAAGCAGCAGCAAAACACCGGAACTCCTTCTGCCTGTCCTCAAGGACGTCCAAGCCAAGAGCACACTCACCGCGGACGGACAGAGGACAGACAGACTCAGACTCAGCAACAAGACTAGTAGCGTAGTCTAGACGGCAGCGAGCACCAAAGTCGACAAGCTCAGCAGCCAAGGGAGACGCAGCAGTGGACTCAAAGGAAGGGTCAGTGACAACAGTGGCCAGGAGACGCGTGACAGTAGGACTGGCAGCACGAAGAGAGTCCGACTCGGGGTCAGCAAGGACAGGAAGAGAGGACTCTGGAGGAGACGGCAACGGGACATGCAGAGGAGCAGTGGAAGGACGCAGTGCCATCTGGTGTGTGCCTGGGACCGCAGGAAGACGCGGACGCGGAGCACGACTACTAGTGCGAGCACCACGAACAAGCGACGCAAGACGAGAAGCAGGCTCACGACGCTCAGCAAGACCTCCAGTAGGACCCGTGAACGGAGAAGGAGCAGGCAGGGGGGAGGCGGGCTGTAACTGTGACTGCGACTGGACAGGCTGTGGACACTCTAAGGGAGGAGCAGGACCAGTAGAAGGCGGGAAACCAAGAACCTGCTCAAGGAGCGGAAAGAAGTACGGCCGTGACCGCGCAGCGCCTCCGGAACCAGCAGGGACAGCATCAGTACCCCCAGCGGCAGCACCAGCGCCAGCAGTACCTCCACCTCCAACAGTGCCAACTCCAGCACCCTCAGAAGCACCAGCGCCAACAGCACCACCAGCGCCTACACCCCTAGCAACTCCAGGTCTAGCAGCTCCAGCTCCAGCAGGACTGTTAGCTCTGTCAGAATATTATGCTCTAGCCTGTAGTGGGGTGCTCTATAGCGAGTACAACCCTTCTAGGGTTTGCTATTTGTATCCTCATTCTTGCTAGTGCAAACCCCTTTTTCTTCTTTCTAAACTTTTTCTACTACCTCCGAATCTTCACATGCTATCAGAGCACGTAGATCCCCTTGGGTCGATCCTGTGGGTGGGCTCACCACCTCACTGCTTCCGCTGCTACAGCTACTCTCCGTGTTGCACGCCCCGTGGCGTGCAACGGATTTTTCATCCCGCCGCGCGCTCGGAGCGTGCGGCGGTTTTCTGCCCGCCGTGCGCCCCGAGGCGCGTGGCGGTTTTCTGCCCGCCGTGCGCTGCCCGCCGTGCGCCCCGAGGCGTGCGGCGGGTTTCTGCCCCCTCACGCTGCGCGTCGCTCCCGGGAGGCGCTGCGACGGGCGACGGAGACCCGCGCGTCGCCATCCGTCGCCCGTTGTGGCCTCCACGCGGCCCGTACAGGCCCGCGCGTGGCTTGGGCCGCCTGCGCGCGGTTCGGGCGGCTGTGCCAGGCACGTGGGCGGCCCGTTCTTCGCTGCCCCTGCACTGCCTGCTGTCCTCCGTGCCTCTGATGGCACCCCACCCCTGCTGCTGCCCGTTCTCCTGGATTAGGGTTTAGGGGTGGGGGGGTATGGGGGTGCTGCTTCTGTGTGCCGTCCCCTGCTCCTCCTCCTCCTCCGTCTCCTAGTGCTGCAGCTGCCGCTGAGGGGGGTGGACATGTTGGAGCCGTCGGAGTGGTACTAAGGGGGGTGAAGGGGGAGTGAAGCTAGGGGTGAAGCAGGGGGTGTGTGTCAGGGGGAGTGGGACTGTTTGGGGAGGTTGAACGGAGGTTGCCGTCGTGTCGCCAGCAGCACCTGTAGTCCGGGGAGTTGCTCCGGTAGCCCAGTCGCAGCCAGCTGTGCCAGTCGCCCGTCGGTCCGTTGCTCGTCTGCCGCTACTTTTAGCCGCGGAGCCAGTTACTCCATTAGTCCGGAGCGTTGTTCCGGTAGCCGCTGTGCCAGTGTGACTCCTGTTGCCCGTGTGTCTGCATCTTTAGCCGTCGCCTCCTATCTCCTCTCCTCTCACTATCCCTCCTCCTCACATGCCCGTTCTAACTACCTCTAGCTTTGCTCATAATTGTGAACTTTAAACTGTCGCTTCTTGTACTTGTGCTCAAAATGTGTGGTGACATTGTGATCCACCCTAAGCTTGTACTGCTTTGCTTGCTCTGCTGATTACACCCCACTTTGGCTATGGGGGTGTGTCAGAATATTATGCTCTAGCCTATAGTGGGGTGCTCTATAGGGAGTACAACCCTTCTAGGGTTTGCTATTTGTATCCTCTTTCTTGCTAGTGCAAACCCCTTCTTCTTTCTTCTAAACTTTAACAAGCTCTAGTACCGCCATCAACTCCAGCAGTACCTCCAGCAGTACCAGCTCCAGCAGCCCTTGCAGCACCCCCAGTCCCAGCAGCTCCAGCACCGCCAGTACGAGCACCTCCAGGACCAGCAGCAACAGTAGCACCTGCAGCTCCAGCAGCACGGCTCCAGCACCGGGAAAACCACTCGCGCAGCTCCTGCGGAGAGAGTAGCTCCCGCCTGGACGAAGCACCGTAAGAGGCCACACGAGCGGACCCAGCACCCCCAGGCTCCGCACCCCCAGGCTCTGTATCCCCAGGCTCAGCACCCCCAGGCTCCGCACCCCCAGGCTCAGCACCCCCAGACTCAGCACCCCCAGGCGCAGCATCCCAGACTCAGCAGCCCCAGGCTCCGCACCCCAGGCTCAGCACCCCTAGGCTCCGTACCCCCAGGCTCCGCACCCCCAGGCCCAGCACCCCCAGGCTCCGCACCCCCAGGCTCCACACCCCCAGACTGAGCACCCTCAGGCTCAGCACCCCGAGCAGCACCAGAGTCAACAGCTACATCGACAGGCTTGACTGCGTCTACCTGGGACACTCTCGCATCTGTTTGGCAAATAGGTAATTACCTTCTGGGTAACCAACATCGAAGCCGCTGACGTCGAAAGTCACCTACGTGGCTCGATGGTACCCGTCAGATCATGCGCGCCCCTTCTTGGTACCTATCTTCCCTCCGTGGTACCTATCTTCCCTGCGTGGTACCCATCAACTGTGCGCGAATTCCCTGACTAATAATATTTCAACCGAGCTGTACACCGTACACCAAGGGTTTCAATGCGTTTCTTAGTATATTAGAACAACGTTTACAAACTCTTATTGAACATGAATACCCTTGAATATAAATGTCTGATCGTGCCTTACACTGGATAGAGTGCGAGGTAATTACCCATTTGCCAAACTCCATGGTTCGGTAAGGAAATGCTCCTTCCTAGCCACGTCTGTCTACACCCACTTATTCGTTTGATGCACCTGCGATTGTGCTACCAGCTCGGTACGTTCACATAGAAGGTTGGGAGCGATGTGTTTATGTCACATAGAATTGATTCACACGCGTGATCAGTTCAGTATTGAATTGTTAAACGTTGAAGAAATTTGGTGGCAGAGCACTACAGTTACACGCATTCGCCCTTAAAACGAGGCCAGATTTATGATTAGGTCAGGCCGGCCTACAGCTGCAAAATCGTATTTATAGCCACATTTTGGGAGCAAGGGACGGCAATACGTAGGGAAATGTGACTCGCGGACGTTAAAAGCACCGGGCAAAATGTCAAGCACCTCCGATCGAAACGCGCTTGGTGAGATTAACGAATAAGTGGGTGTACTACTGTACTCGTTGGAGAAGATATGTACACCTGAGGGCACTCGTGGCGGGAAATGGGTTCTGTCAGGTATGGTAAGCCTCTCGGCTCGAATTCCACGTGGGTTCTATGTAAGCCTCTCACCAATTTACTGATGGTGTTATTCTTTCCTGCCCAATTCCAATTTTGTCAATCTGATGTTGTGTCGTGCAGTGATCTGAAGCCGAATAGCGGGCACACTTTATAGTGGTGATCCGATATTTCCGATATTTTTTCCAATTTTTTTGAAAGCAAACAGTTATTACACATCGTATACAAATCACGTGCGGCAGCATTCCAAACCAGATCATTTTTGTCTGACTCCAAAGCGGTCGGTTCGTCACATCTGGACTGCCGAACGCGCCTGGTTGCTGTATCTTCGTTGCGGAATCGAAGGTAGCTGGCCCCCACCACCAAGCCCGCGCTCCTCGCGCAACCGTATCCCCACTTGATCCGAACCAAACCTCATCCGCTTTTTCGTCGGCTCGGCACGGCGAATAAAGGGCTTGCAGTGCAGCTGCCTGAACTGAAGACGGAAAGGGAAGGTGGTTTACGGAGCGCGAAGGTGGAAATGCCTACCGTGTGTGCAGTGCACTGGCCGAGAGGAGCCGCCATAAAAGATGGGTACAGGGTGCTTGAACTGTACAGTACCCATTTCTCCCCCCTCCAACTCTAGCTTGAAAGAGCCCATTCGTCCGCCTTCCGCCGCTGCCTTGAAGGTGCTTTATGAACTTCATAAATAGATAACTGTCTATGAGGGAAGTCAATCGTTTGCAAAGCTACGCCTTGCTCCTCTGTCGCCGGCTCCTGTGATCGCCTCCTCTTGCAAGCTAGGCGTTGCGCTCCAGAACTACTTGGTGGGTAGTATTAAGTAGACCGTATTCGCTGAGCCTGGATACTTGCTAGGGAAAAACAAAAACAAAAGTCTCTCTGTAGCAGCGTCCGCCTGTAGTTCCGCCACTCAATTTTCTCAAATTTCTCTCCGCAGCAGCATCCGCCTGCCGCGGCGGCGGTAGCGATGTCGAAGCATTACCGCGCCATCCGCAGCTTCCTGCCCACGGCAACGGCAGTCGGAAAGCGTCTCTCGCGCCAGACCTCCCAGGAGATCGTCCTGGGTGGCAGCATCGGCATTCCTCTGCCAGAGACCTCCTCGCTCGTGCCACGTATTGATACTATAACGCAGTCATCTCTCGGCGCGCTTCACCCCAACGGCCCCGCGATTTCCGCTACGTCGTCCGCGGTGTCCGCATCATCCGGCGCGCCTCTCGCAGCATTGTCCTCAGCGGAATCAAATTCCCGGAGCAACTACGATTACTCATGCTCCCCGTCTCTTCCCGTCTCATCTTACTCTCCTACCCGTGCCGCCGCCAATGGAACCACCATCGGCGATCAACCCCGATCCTCCGAGCCGCCCATGCCTGCCGTCCTTCCTGTCTTCGGCGTTGCTCGCCGATATTTCCCAGGCCCCTCACCCCTCTCCAAAGGAATTCCCGGCTCCTGGTCCAATTCTGGACCCCCATTTCCAGCAAAATGCGCATTTCCCGCCGCTTTTCCCGCGGCTGTTTCCGCCGCGGACGCCGCCCCGCAACGCGGGGTGCTGCTCCGTAGTGGTTCGAGCTCTGCCACGTGCGGCGATTTGAATGGCGGGTTTCTGCAGCATGATTGGATGCAACGAGCCGCGTGGTTGGCCACAGCGGGGGATGCGGACAATGGCGCTGACGATGCGGCTGCTGCTGACGTGGCGGAACGTGACTACAGCGGGGGGAGGGACGATGAGATTGGCGACGGGGAGAAATGCACGGCGACTGCCGACGGCGACAGCGCTCTTGACGTGCCGAATCGAACGGTCGAAGTCGATCAGACTGCACAGGGTAAAACCGCAGATCGTCGGAATGACGTGAGAGTATGCAGCTCAGCAACGCGTCTCCTTCCAAAACCCCCAACGACGTCAGGGACTAATCCCGAATTCGTTTTTCGCGGGGATGAGGACCCCGCGTACTGGGTTGACAGCACGCAGACGTACCACAGCGCCGGATGGATCGGCAGCAACCAACATCACCACCACGAGCCGCGTCACGATCGTTTAGCCTCTGCTTGTGCTCCCGACGACACGTGTCCGAAATCATCGCACACGAGTCGTTCGTACTCGCATGATTATCAGACCAATGCCGCTGGGTGGTTGGATGACAGAGATTGCATGGCGGCAGAATCATGGGTGAACGACAGCCGTAGATCGCTGGACGAGGTGTGGATGGACAGCGCGCGATCTCGCATCCGCGACGCGGCGTTGCAGCTCGTGGAGGCTCAGCAAGCGGCGCTGGAGCACAGCAGAGTAGCGTCGGCCATGGAAGCCGCCATGCTGGAGAGGCAGAAGAGCCTGGGGAGGCAGACGAGCCTGGGGAGGAGCCCTGGGGGGGGAAGCGGGAAAGGCGATAAAGTGAGAAAGAGTGTGCTCTCCTGGTTGCCTCCAACCAATGACGTGGGTGTGAGCCGGAGCACCCGAAGCAGCCCGATGCGCAGGCTTGGTATGGGAGGTCGGGGAGGGGGAGCAGCCTGTGACAATGTTGGGGCTGCTCTTAACGGGGATGGGCATGAAGTTGATATGGTGGCTGGAAAGGTTCGTGTTGATGGTTTGACTCTGCAGGCTGGAGGAAGCTCACCGTTAGGAAGGGTTGGGATGATGCTCCGTTTAGGGAGTTCCAAAGGAGTAGTTTCAACAGGTTGATGGCTACATTCATTAGTACCAGGTATCTATCATGCTTCACCCTTATTGCTTATTAATTGTTTGAAATATTCGTGAAGTACACTATTATGCGTGTAACTATTTCTCTGATAAGTTTGCAGAATATTAATTGAATAATTAGACTCAATCTAGCTAAATCACACTAGTGCCCAATGTAAGGAATTTCACTACCGTATCACCCCGGATAGAAGCGCAGGCCTATGATAAGCGCATGCGCTTCTATCTGGAGCAATGCGCTGATGGCCGATTTTCAATTATAAGCGCACCCCCTGTGAAAACATTACTTATTATAAGCGCATGTACAATTTTAAATCAGAAATTCTGTTCAAAACGTTAGCGAGTTTCAATTTTGAAGTGAGTGCGATCTCATTTTCGCTTAGTCTGACTCTCGAAGACCTGACTGGCTGCGCGTCCAGTCAGGATGTGCTGGCATGACTGCCAAGTGTCGCATCTTGGCCCCTGTGTGCTGGAAGGGAATTGCTTGGACGCGATTCTGCTTTGTGACGGGAAAAAAATCGACTCGGTTGAAATGGCGCAAGAGTGAAATATACAATCTGGTGTCTTAAAATTACAATTTTGTAAATGTCAAAATATAAGCGCATGCGCTTATACAAATGACTCAATTACAAGCGTACCCCCCTTAAAAACACTGTTTTATTATAAGCGCACCTGCGCTTTTATCCAGGGTTATACGGTAATTCCTTACTGAGACATCTCTTACGCGTACAATTCCAACTTTCGGAATTCAGGCTCGGTCCGTCGACCTCGCCTTCCGAACGTCCCCTGCGTCACCTTCGGGTTTCCCAACCCCAAACCTGCACCCAACCTTTGCGTGACTTCGCAAGTAGTAGCTTCGCGCCTAGCGACGAGGTCCTTGGCGAGCTACAGAACTCGCTGGACGCTGAAGATGAATGGACGGCACGAATGCAACAGGCACGAGGGACGCAGTAGCAACAGTCACAGCCGCATCACCAGACACAAGTGGCGCCGAGGCAACAGTCGCAGTCTACGCCACGTCAGGCAATAGCGACAACCCCGGTGATGGCTTCGGTGGCGCCCCCAATGCATGTAGCAACAACAGTCTCAACAACTGTTAAAATAAAACCGACGAACCCGCCCCCGTTCAACCCCAACGACAAAACCATCACTGTGTCGGCATGGTTGTTCGGTGTGGAGGTATTTTTCAATGCTGCGCAAATTGCTGACGATGCTACTCGCATTAATTTTGCAGTGTCACTGTTATGAGGGCCGGCGTTGGAGTGGTGAAGGTGGACTCTTCAGACAGAGGGGACTCCGGCAGGGCTGTCACGTGCGAACGACGGGACCTGGACAACTGTCACGCAAGGAGCAACTTCAATCTTCGGAGTGGCCACGATACGCACATGGACGGAGTGGGGCTCCGCGCTGCGAGCCAGATTCGAGCATGTATCCGCCTCGGATTCTGCTCGCATGAAGTTGCTTACCTGGAAGCAGGTGGCGTCAGTCCAAGATTACACAGCAACATTCTGCGATTTGGCTGACCAGGTGGACGACATGAGTGATGCGAAGCGACTCGACCGATACGTCGCAGGCCTCAAATACGAAGTACAGTACGAGGTGCGACGGGCGAGGCCACGCGACTTCCTCGATGCCGTCTAGGTGGGTAAATCGATGGATGCGCTGATGCAATGGGCGAGAATGAGTTCCCGGGAGGGCACTCAATTTCGTGGACCGCCGCGCCAGCCCACAATCAACGGGGTGGATGCGCCGAGACGTGGACCTAACACGTGCTTCAACTACAACCAACCGGGCCACTGGAGGAAGGACTGCCCGAAGCTGAAACAAGGAACCAGGAACGGCGGAGAGGGGTCAGAAAAAAAGGCAAGTCAGAAAAAGAGACGAGTCAGTAGCAGTCGGGCCACCTACTGACGAGACCCCGCCGCCCGGCAATCAACATCCACACCGAGTAGTGGTACCGATACGGGCTATCGAGCGCAACAAGACGAATAAGGTGGATGAACACGTGGATCACCCTGTGCTGGTCGTGGGAAGGGTTAACGTGTATAAAATAAAATTCTTCGTTGACGGTGGGGCGGGCCACAGCCTCGTCAACCTGACAACGGCCAAAAAAATCGGAGTCAAGCTGTGTCAAGATAGTGAGTGTAGTAGGAGCTAGGTTTAGGTAGGGCCTAGGCTTAGTAGCCTAGGCCAAGGGGAGTCAAGATAGTTGTGGCAAGGAGAAGTCGAGAATGGGAATGGTGTTCACTATAGCACTAGGGTACATATAGCAAACAGATCATGCAAAGAAGGTGCACCACCAACAGTTTATAATAACTATACTAAACTACAGCTACAGGCAGTTACATATACATTCTAACACTCCCCCATAACTGCCTGCAGCAAGAGTTTGTGCAGAACACAACCTGCAGGGGTACACCAGCAACAGCAACAGCAGGCACGGTAACAGAGCAGGTACAGTAGCAAAGGGACGGGTGACAGCAAGACATTCCTGCCACCCCCTTACTCTCTTCCCCCCCCCCCGACCATAGGAGGGGCAACAGGGAGAGAGAGGAGGCGGGCTGGCTCTGGCTGGTCACCCCCTCCATCCCCTCACCCTCCCCCTCCCCCTCCCCCCCACACTGCTGCAGGAGCAGCAGAGGGGGGGAGAGAGGAGAGGTGGAGGGACGACTGCTGGTTGGTCTCACACCCGCCACCCTAGTGCCACTCCCCCGGCTGCCCCACACCCTCATACCCTCCCCCCCAGCGACAGCTATAGCAGTGGGAACGAAAGGAGGAGGAGGGGAAGGGAAGCACACCACCCATCACCCCCACACCCGCCACCCCCATACCCTCCCCCCCACGAGTGTAGGGAGACGAAGGAGGAGGGGGTGGGCGGGGAGAAAGCCGTAGAGCGGCTACAGAGGGTCGGCGCGAGTAGGTCAGGGGCGGCTGCAGCGAGTGCAGGCGCGGGGTGAGGCAGAGGCGGCTGCACCAAGGGCAGGCGCTGGGTGGTGCAGGGGCGGCTGCAGCGAGTGTAGGCGCGGGTGAGGCAGGGGCACCGCCGCGGGCGCCAGGGGTGGGTCCGCGGCGGCTCAGGACACCGTCGCGGGCGCCAGGGGCGGTTCCGCGGCGGCTCAGGGCACCGTTGCGGGCGCAAGAGGCGGGTCCGCGGCGGCTCAGGTCACCGTCGCGGGCGCCAGGGGCGGGTCCGCGGCGGCTCAGGGCACCGTCGCGGGCGCCAGGGGCGGTTCCGCGGCGGCTCAGGGCACCGTTGCGGGCGCTAGAGGCGGATCCGCGGCGGCTCAGGGCACCGATGCGGGCGCCAGTGGCGGATCCGCGGCGGCTCAGGGCACCGTCGCGTGCCACGGGGCGCACGACGAGCAGATAAAACGTCACGCGCCACCCGGGCGCGGAACATAAGGAAATTTGCCACGCGCTCGCGGCGCGCGACCGGAAAAACAGCAGCGGAAGCTTGAGGCAGGCCCACAGGCCAGGACGTAACAGGCTCTAATGCCATATCAAGATAGTGAGTGTAGTAGGAGCTAGGTTTAGGTAGGGCCTAGGCTTAGTAGACTAGGCCAAGGGGAGTCGAGATAGTTGTGGCAAGGAGAAGTCGAGAATGGGAATGGTGTTCATTATAGCACTAGGGTACATATAGCAAACAGAGCATGCAAAGAAGGTGCACCACCAACAGTTTATAATAACTACACTAAACTACAGCTACAGGCAGTTACATATATATTCTAACAAGCTGGACAGGTGTCTGCCCGAAATTGACACGCGACTGGTGGACGAGACACCGCTGGCGATTTCGGGTTTTCAATGCGAATGCTGGCGACAACACTGGACGGTTGCGATGTGCTGTTGGGACGAGATTGGCTACAGCGCTTCAATCCGACGATCGACTGGACGACGGGGGCGATCACGGTGCTGTGCAACAAGGGGCGCGTGACACTTCTGAAATGGGTGGAGCCAGAGCCGATAACAACACGTGTCAACGCAATAACGATGAGCAGGGCGATCAAATGGGGAACGCAGGGCTACGTCGTACAGCTGTACGAGGTGGTCGCATCCGAGAAAATCGCCGACATTGACACGCTCTGCGCTGCTATACCAGACGACGTGGCGAGCATAATTCGGAGGTATCCCGAAATTTTCGCGGATGACGTGCCTGACGGGTTGCCACCTCAGCGACCAGAAAACCACAGGATCGAGCTAGAGCCAGGCGCAAAACCAACTATTCGATCACAGTGGCGGCTCGGCCAACCGGAGCTCGACGAGTTGCAGAAACAGCTAGATTATCTTCTTTCGAAGGGGTTTATCCGACCAAGCACGTCACCCTACGCCGCCCCGATACTGTTCACGCCGAAGTGGACGGAGGCCTTCGCATGTGCATCGACTATCGAGCATTGAATCGGGTCACAATCAAGTCGCGTTACCCAATCCCACGAGCGGAGGACCTACTGGATCAGCTTCGCGGGGCTCGCTTCTTCTCGAAAATTGATTTCCGAGGTGGCTACCATCAAATTTGCGTGTTCGCTGACGACTGCCCGAAGACTGCGTTCCGCACCCACTACGGAAGTTACCAATATACTGTGATGCCGTTCGGGTTGACGAACGCGCCCTCGACCTTCCAGCTCACCATGAATGGGGTGTTTCGGGACATGTTGGACAAAGAAGTCATTGTTTACCTGGACGACATCCTGGTGTACAGCAAGACTCGGGAGTAGCATTTACAGGACTTAGAGGAGGTGTTCCGACGCTTGCAGCAGAACCGGCTGATTACTCAGGGCTCTAAGTGTGAGTTCTTACAGTCGGAGCTGGAGATCCTGGGGCA